TTTTTTTGTTTCAATTGAAGGAATTGTTGTTATAACCAGTATATTTCATATGATTATTATTTGAGTGATAAGCATGCCAGGAAAGTGACGCTAGGGTACGAAGCTCAATGTGCCCCTAATGACGCATAATCTGTTAACCGTATACCAGTGTTGCGGGTAAGCAACGTACAAGCGCATTGGTTGTTATTGTAACGGAAGTGGAAGGAGAAAACAAATAAATTGAAATTAAATACCTATCACGTATCTATGTCTGACCACTTTTACATGGTGTAAGTAGATATGAGTCACGGTGGAGTAATGGATAGCGGTTCGGATTGAGGAATTGGAGAACCAAGTTCGAATTCCAGTCGAATCCATTACATTCACTTATATGGCATGAAACCCCCATCTATGGGTAAACAGACCGGATCTATAGCTTTGTATGGTAACTGGTCTACCGCAAAAAAAAAACTGCCTCATCAGTCATGTATCGAAAGATACATGATCGCCTAAGCGTGTATCACGTCTGGCACATAAATGACTGAGTAGATATGCTTCCCTACACTATCAGCAATGGTGTAAAAAAAAGCTAGACACTTGATTTTCATACAAGCGGATCACGTGACCGAGGCATCAAAAGTCAAGATTCGGCAGTTGAAGAACGAGACCGAGGCGTCAAAAGTCAAGATTCGGCAGTTGAAGAACGAGACCGAGGCGTCAAAAGTCAAGATTCGGCAGTTGAAGAACGAGACCGAGGCGTCAAAAGTCAAGATTCGGCAGTTGAAGAACAACAACCAAATGAGACGAGTGCTTTACGTCTAATAATGCAGTGACCCGAAAAGAAAACTGTTACTGGAACCAGTTTTTATTTAGATTAGTTTAGTTTAGATAGGTTCTGGAATTACACATATGTCTCGACATTTGTCAACATCTGCTCGACGGACACTGGACTCTGAAGTTAGTCATGGACACGGATGTTCTGTGGTTATGAGCTTACACCACAGAGTCAACAGTCGACATGTTGACTCCAAAATAGAGTTAAGTAATATCGTGGGTTCTCTTGAGATGATTGAATGCAAACCCAAGCCTTCTTTTTTATCTTCTTTTTTTCTATTCTCACTTTCATGTTATTAAATTGTTTATGCTAAATTGACTCCATGTATTTGTTGTCGTTTTATTTCACTGGTTATTGTATTTTGCATGTATTGTTCCTATCCTGTAGACGTCCCTTACTCATAAGAATCTAGGAAATCATATCCCGAGCCAAATCCCGCATCCCGGTTTAAATACAAATTTTATTTATGTCTGAGATCTGTTGGGGCCACCCACCTTCTCATCAGAATGGACTGATCTCTCTACTACTAATAGGACAGTTCTATAGAGTTCTGGGAGATCAGGTGACCATCACACTTCCGTCTCTCTACCGGAAGATACAGTTGGACTTTATACTCTTTCTGATTGTTACTGACTAACCTGCGTTCGTTTGACTACTAATCTCTCTGTTGTAAATACCTCTTCAGATGTACCAGTATTTTCCCTACGTATCTGTTTGTCCTTATTTCAATACACGCACGCGGAAACACTCAACATCTCAACAGAGATCAAGGCCGTGACACCAAGCACATGCATCACAGCCAAATGTTCGTAATATGGTGACAGGTTTTGGTAAAAGCAGCGCATAAACTTGCAAGTGGGAAATATTTTCAGGTTATATAACCGATTCGCTTAAACGGTCTCCGATTAAGGGTCTAATCAAGTATCGAGATGCAATTCCTGTTTTATATTGACAGCAGTGAATGATCTCAGCTCGGCATTTTTCTGTTGGCCGGCGATCACCAATCGTTTCGGCTCGGCAATGAAAGACTCCAACACTTATCTATTTTACTAATGTCGACATGTACTAACTATCCAGTGGGCGTCGTTCATCCTCACTGGAGAGCCGTTTCAGACACGAAAGAGGACGCGTCTACATTGCATGACGGTTAAGACTTGACGCTCCGAAAAATCCTTCTCTATCTATCATTCCCACCCTAACTCAGCCAATCAAAATCGACTTCCTTATTATGTCTTACATCTGACCCCGTGGTCAACCTCAAGATGTCGGAGCAGAGATATACATCCTGTAAAAAAATAATAGCCGCCCAAGTTGCCGTCGCTACATCACATTAAAAAAAATACAAATTCTCTCGACACTCGACCACGAAGCTCACTAAAAACTCCCGCACATGAACACAAACGCAAAATGTATCAGCAGCCCCTAGAGGAATGCCCCACTGTTTAAGGCCAATCAACTGACATGGGAGTTTTACTGAGCGGAATATGTACTATAAACCATCTTAATTACCCAAGACAAAGAATGTATGAGTTAATGCCCCCATTCAATTAAGCCATGAGAGCAACGCCTGGTGCAGCATCAATCAATTTCTTCTTCTTCTTCTTTTTCTTTTTCTTCTTCTTCTTCTTCTTCTTCTTCTTATTATTATTATTATTATTATTATTATTATTATTATTATTATTATTTTCTTTGATTTCTGGCGTTTACACATTTCTTTCCGGGTCCCTTGAGGGACCTAAGGTTAGAAATGGCGTCATGACACTTTCCACTAAAAAAAAAAAAAAAAATTAAATTACATAGATAAAGCCCTTCGTAAGGTGCGGGCTGTACTTGTCAGAACAATTTTTGTATCTCCTTGAGGCATGGACTTCCAGGAAACCCTTCAATTAGTCTACTGCAATCTTTTCCAACCAGTCCTAGGGCTCCAACTACAACAGGGATTATGCCACATTTTCGAGATTTCTATTTCAAGGTCCTTGTACTTTGACAACTTTTTGAATATCTTCAAAGATACATTGCAGTCGGCAGGGACTGCCATATCAATAAGGAGGCATCGTTTTTGTTTGTGGTCTTTAATAACAATATCTGGCCGGTTGGCCTTGATTGTTCTGTCAGTGTGTATTGTGTAATCCCATAGAATTGTAACAGGTCCTATCTCCGTAACCGGGTCTGGGAGGTGTTCATACCAGTTTCTTTCAGTTTCCTTCCCGTAGAAGTTGCAGATTTTCCAGTGCAGATATTGGATTGTCATTATTATTATTGTTATTATTGTTGTTATTATTATTATTATTATTATTATCAGGCAAAGGTTCGTCCTCGATTTTGTTGTTACTTAAAAAAAATAACCACAACTTGACACTGGCGTTATTATTATCCAAACTAGTCTGGAATTTGAACTCGGCTCATCAACTAAACTCTCAGCGCTTAAACTAAATTGATGTAAGAGCAAAATTGCCCAAATCATGTAACAGCATAATTATCCATCCCATAAAATGTTTAATATCTTAAAAAAAAAAAAAAAAAAAAAATACTAAACTAATTGAATTTCTTTTTTCCAGGTTCGCAGATAAGACATTTAGCCATTTTGACACTATTTGTCGTAAGAATCACTCAAAACTCCTCTTGGGTTATTCAGCTAGAAAGAGAACGGGTTAAGATCATTTTGTGTCAGACCCTCTGTTTTCACAAATGAGCAATAGTGAGAGGAAAAATCATTCAAGCCTTCAGCAATGGTATCAACATTCATACTCTGGCTTCAGAGCCCATTCAAGAACCATCAAGAGATTGGTGAATAAGTTTAAAAAAGAGGGAACAGTAGAGAGAGAAACTGGATCAGGAGCTCACAAAGGCAAGTGGGATCATCGTTTCAACTTAGAGCTAGAGAGATCAATCAGAAAAGGTCCAACTCAATTCATAAGACGTTTGGCACGGGAGAGAGGATTTTCAGCTATGACAGTCCAACGAGCAGTTTAAAAAGACTTGAAAATGAAATCGTACGTGAAACCTGTGAGGCAATTTGTTACTCCAGGACATAAAGTTAGAAGATTAGAGAGGGCGAAGATCATCTTGAATAATTTGGAAAATGATCCTCGAATAATATATATATATATATATATATATATATATATATATGTTTGAACTTTATTTCAATACTTCCTGAGCTTCAGATCCTTAGCTATGATTAATTAATAATGAACATGTCATTTTTGTTTTTGATCCATTTCATCACGATACTTCTGTTGAGCTTGGAGAGTAATTATACATTCTTATTGTTCAATGTCCAGTAGTGTTATAAAAACCGCGGAGAATTCCAGTAAGATATCTTTAATCATTTCTAAGATACAATGGTTCAGAGGTTAATTTAATAATTGGGTAATTATGCTGTTACTCGATTTAGAGAATTTTACTGTTACACCCGGTAGTAATATTATGTATAAATGGAGAGGGTTATATGACATCAAATAAGATATTTACCCGAATATTTTTTTTATTTTTTTAGTCTTGAGACATGAAAAACTTCGATCAAAGAACAGAAGAGTGTGGAATACCATGATCGCCAACGTCCTGAAATGATACTTCTCAAAGAACAAGAAGACGTACAGTATAATCCGCGGGAAAAAAGAAAGACACGATCATGGTTGTGTCAGTCATGTATTCCACGTCTCACTTGACTGATTGATCTCTTTTTTACGGCTTAGCAACCTTTTGAATCTTATTTTAATATCTTTATATGGTAATAATTTTTGGTGATAATAATGATCCACTAATACAAGATATACTATTTAACCCATAGCTAGAGGGATAAGATGTAGATTTATACCTTTCCTAGGTGTATTTGATCGTAAGTAAATATAACAAAGCCGATTGCAATTGGAACTGAGATCAATATTTTCCAATTCCGAACGGTACATTCAAGCTCACGGCACATAGTATTCCAAAGCGGTCACCCATATAGATGCTGACCAGGATCTACGTTTCTTAACTTAGATCATCATACGAGAATCGGTGTTTCAACGCGATGTTGCTCGTACGTCACACCACTATTAGAGCTTACAGCATCGTTTATTCCTAAACTGTCACCCTTCTACGTACTGATTAGGCACGGCGTTGCTTAACTTTGGTGATCGTATGGGAACCGATTTATCAAAATGATGTAGCTTTAAGCCATACCACCTTCATATCCAAGCTTACAGCACCAGGTATTCCCATGAGATCCCCCATCTAGGTACTGACCAGACGCGGGGTTGCTTAATTTCGGTGATCGTGCGAGAACCGGTGTTTCAACGTGATGTGTCCGTAAGCCATAACATCCCAGCGAACAGCACCTAACATTCCCAAGCGCCGGTCACCCATCTAGGCTCGGCGTTGCTTAACTTCTGTTATTATTTCAACGTGACATGGCCGTAAGCCAAACCACTTGCACATCCAAGCTTACATCCACTGGTATTCCCAGTACAATCTAGGTACTGACCAGACTCTACATTGCTTAACTTCGATGATCGTATGAGAAGCGATGTTTCGATGTGATATGGCCGTAAGACGTGAGAATGTTACATCTTACCTACTGCACTGTTTTCAAACCTAATTAAAAAGCAATATTTCGAATACGGATTAGCTTAACAGGCAAGTCATTCTCATTTGAATGTTTGGCGCAGCATGATCTTCCGCTACAATTTTCTTTCTTGGGCGGTTGGTATCCGAGAAGAGCTAGAAGCTTAAATAATATCGTAAAAACAAAAACGAAATCTGAATGAGATCGTCTAGGTTGACCAGTAGTCCTCAACCTTTTTGTTACCCATGGACCATTTTTACTTTTAATTTTTGGTGGACCCCCATAAACATTCGACGAAACAAAAAAACCTTATATTATTTTTTACTAATAGATAATTTTAGTGATTTATTATAGAAATAGGAAATGTATATACTTTATTTTGAAGTAAAACTAATTTAATGTAAACTTGTTTGGTTGTTTGTTTTGTTTTATGGCATATCAAAACCTCAGTGGGTCATTTAATGCCAACAAATTTTTGAAATAGATTCATAGCGATAGTTTGGTAAAAAAAAAAAGGTGTACATGTATATATATATATTTGAACCAAATGGTTCAAATATATATATATACTCATATTTTTCAATACAATCCAACTTCTTTTAGGAAATTTACAATCTTGGATGGTTTTATGTTCGTAAATTTTTTTTTTTTTTTAATTTCTCACTTGGTAGATAATAATTTTTCCTTCAAGAGTTATTGTTGGTAATAATCTTTTTTATTACAAATTATTTCTGGTATTAAAACCTATTTTTACACAAGTTTGGGTCTTAACTATTTACCCATAGCTGGGACCCTAACAGATGCTACCACTCCGGGTCGGGGTGAACCTGGGAACACCAGCAATTAAGAGGTGGTTCTACCCTCCTCAAAACCTCCTAATCAGAGGCCTTGCTGTTGGACGTAGTTTATCGTCTTACCCAGGACGCGTATGTAGTTTATCGTCATACCCAGGACGAGTAAATAAACTTGTGTTTAACAACTGAATTCTATGGTACATTTATGTACACTAGTAAAATAATTCATAATAACCCATTTTAGAATGTGTGAGTAATTAATATTGTTTTAAAGTGCAGATTTATTCAACGACATCACTGTGGTTGATGCTGCTCTGAGGGGTTTTTTTATATTCGGCTCCATCGATATCAATAATAGTCAAAGATGACCCCTTTTTACAATGTCAAGTCTATTACTATATTCATTAATTTGTATTATGTTGATATTTTATTTTATTAATATTTAAAATTAACTTTATTATTTATATATTAAATTAATTTACATAATAAATTATAATCTTTATATAATTTTCCCTTCTATATCTACATATATAGTTCTTCCTTTATATAGCTTTCTCAGTTTTATTCAAATTTTTGCAATAAAAAACATCCGATATAGTAAAAGGGACGCCAATTCATATTGCTTGATCTCGTTTTCAGCTAGTTTTAGAGCAGATTTTCGATTTTTAGTATTTTAATATGGCGTCGATTATTGTAGAAATTTCAATTATTAATTGTAACATGTGTCCCAAAGTGAAATTGCTCTCTGGACTACTAAAATAATACTGTGGACCCCTAATTTGCTATTTTTGGTGTAGACACCCAGTAACATTATATGGACCCCCCCACCACCAGGGTCTACATGGACCCGGTTGAGAACTTATAGTTTAGACCCATCGAATTCCAGAAATTTAAAGTTAAATTTAAATTTGAACATTCTTGAGTTTTCGGCATTTCTCTCAGTGTATAATTCTTAACCAACCTTTCTTTGTATTTCTTTCCCTCCCACTACATATGTATAATTCCATCAATAAAAACATTGTTTAACCTGAAGAAGTCCTTTCGAAAGTAGAAACGTGTCACAGAATATTTTTTATTTTGTCATTCAATTACGCATAGTGCTTACAAACTTAACTGACTGGATTTCTTCATCGTTGATCACTGATAGGAAAAGGTTTCGATGTTTTAAATAAAAAGTTTATTTAAATGTCGCGCGTATTGAGGAAAAAAGGTTGTATTTTTGTTTTCGTTTGTTGTTTGTTAAATAAATAAATAAATAAATAAATAAATAAATAAATAAAAAGATTCGGAGAAACAACGACCTTGTCATGTCCTTCATTTTCTGCAGAATCTTTTCTTTTATTTCCCCTTTCATCGTAGCGGGTCGTGTGACCTTCGCAACCACCGCTGATTATGAAAGAGCGGCATCGGTTTCGTCACCATGGCAACAGTGCCATCTTGAAACCGATGCAAAGGTGCACGTGTGCCGGCTCTGTAAAGACACGTTCTTTGCTGCACTGGTGACGAAACGGAAAGGCGAGATGTCCATCGGCAGAAGGAAAGGTACTTTTTTTTTTATCGTTTACAAGTGTTCACCAAGCGCCGCGTGAAAGTCGGGCGTTTACTGTAAGAGCTCTCAGGGTACAAGCAAGACGTCGATGTGTGTTTATTGAAAACCGTGGGAACAGACACAGGTTTGTTTTTGTCCTTTAGAACTATAAGGCTGGTGGTATTATCTGTTCGGAAAGGATATGCCGATACGATTCTTACACACACAGAAACAAACACATACAGGTATCTATATAAGAATAAAGACTAAAGCAAAACTTATGTTAGCTGATGCGTTTCGTCTACTGACGGACTTTATCAAGGCAAATGTAATATTTTTATTTTGCTACAAGTATTATTTAAAAACAAAAGTAAAAATAATTATTCAATTTTTTTTAAATTCAAGAGACGCTCATCAATATATATATATATATATATATAAAGATAGATAGATAGATAGATAGATAGATGTGTGTGGAATGTGATAGATAGATAGATAGATAGATAGATAGATAGATAGATAGATAGATGGAATATGATAGATAGATAGATAGATAGATAGATAGATAGATAGATAGATAGATAGATAGATAGATAGATAGATAGATGTGTGCTGAATGTGATAGATAGATAGATAGATAGATAGATAGATAGATAGATAGATAGATAGATAGATATGAATTGAGATTAAATACAGATCAAATATGGATTATAATCTGATAGGATAAAGAACAAATAAGAATGTTTATAAATCTAAAATGTTTCACTTTTATTGCTTCATGAAAGAATAAGATATGAAGAAGGAAAATATCTGGTATTTTTATTTTTGTGCTGTTTTCATTGATTAAGTAGGCTTTACATGTATTTGACTTGTTAAGCAGCGTTAGTATAAGATATACTACTATTACAACCACCACCACTACTACAACTACTACTATTGATATATGTAAAATAATGTAAGTTAACATAAGTCAAGGTGAATAGGTTTTTTGTCAACAGATATCTTGAGCAATAATTAATGTTGTCAAAAATATAAAAGTTCAGGGTATTTATTAAAGACTGGCTAAAACTTCCCCAATGTTTTATTCATCAAAGTCTAGACAAGAATCTATGGAAATTTTAAGTAAATCATGTATTTTTACATTATTTTCTATTACTATAGATGTTCATTTAATACATACACAAGGATATTTACTCAAACACGTGTATCCAGTATACAAAACATATATATATATATATATATATATATATATATATTAGTGCATGTGTCATTAAATAATATAGAAAAGTTTTGTCTATTTATTTTAAGTAAATTCCTTTCGTATTGTTGAATAAGCATTATCACGGAAACACAAAAGAAAATCATGATACATGCTTTTATTGTTAAGCCATCATCAGAGATGTAAGCTTACATAAGCCATCATCAGAGATTAAAAGCACATTACAATAGATTAAATAATAAATTATATAAAAAAGATGGTAATTTTTGTTTTAGAGTGGTTATGTGGACATTGCAACAATGATGTGATGTCATGAACCGCAATGCGATATTTACTTCCTGCGTTTCATATGCACGAAATTATCGTTGCACAGCAATCTTCCATGCAAACAAAACAAACTATGCATTAATGAAAAATGTTTCCTAAACAATTGCGTCCAGCATGAATCAGCCTGTCGCCTCTAAGTGTTGACTTCAATGTTCACTTTTATATTTACACACGCTCTATCTCTGATATTGAGCACTTTATCCCATAATATAGCACACCTTAAGAGTATATTTCTTCATATATATATATATATATATATATATATATATATATATATATATATATATATATATATGAAGAAAGAATACTTTACCTTATGCGTTTCATCCTCTGATGATCTTTATCGAGGCAAATGTAAGGATTTTATTTTGCAACAGGCATTTATAAACTAAAGTAAAAATGTTAGTTTTTTCAAAATATTAAATTCAAGAGACGCCCATAAATATTTATCAGGCTTACTATAAACGAAAGTAAAAATATTGTTCGTTCTTCAAATTGTTTAAATTCAAGAGACGCTCATAAATATTCATCAGACTAACTGAAAAGTCTCGGTAAATTATGGAAGATGCTAAGAGACATAATTTAATGTCTAATAAACGAACGTGAGTAAATGATGTTGTTGATTTTTTTATGCAAATAGTATTCAAATTATTGTAGGAGGGGATAAATTCATCAATTAATATTTTATTTTTATTTTTATTTTTTTTAAATAACAGAACGTTATGAATTTAACGGTTAAGATAAGTTTTCTTCTTGTCTTTATTCATATTGTCTTTTTGCAGATCTATTGTAGTTATTTCACTTTTTTTTTAATAGGAATCACCCCAAGGAAGGCCGTAATGCCACTAAGACACAAGGGGTTACACGGTGTGGAAGAA